GTGGTATCTCAGTGTGCTTTTTGATTTGCATTTCTCTGATGATGAATGAGGCTGAGCAGCTTTTCATGTGTCTGTTGGCTGCCTGCGTATCTCCTTTTGAGCAGTGTCTATTAATGTCTTTAGCCCACTTTTTAAAGGGATTGCTTGTTCTTTTCCTTTCAGCACATTTGAGTTCCTTGTAGATTCTAGATGCTAGGCCTTTGTCAGATATACAGTTGGCAAATATTTTTTCCCATTCTGTGAGCTATCTTTCTCTCTTGATAGTTTCTTTTGCTTTGCAGAAGCTCATTTAATTTCATGAGGTCCCCCTTGTCTATTTTATTTCTTAAGGTATTAGCCTTTAGTGTTCTGAATAGGGAATTGTTCTCAGTTCCAAGTTTCATAAGGGTGTCTCCTGCACTTTCTAAGATTCTTATAGTTTGAGGTTATACATTCAGGTCTTTGATGCATTTAGCATTAATTTTTGTGAATGGTGATAGGTAGGGGTCCTGTTTCAATCTTCTATATGTGGTCAGCCAGTTTTCCCAGCACCATTTACCGAATAGGTTCTCCTCTCCCCAGTGGTGTTGTTGGAGGCTTTGTCAAAGATGAACTGGTTGAGGAATTGAGGCTTTGCTTCCAGAATCTCTATCCTATGCCATTGGTCTGTATAGTTGTTCTTGTACCAGGCTGTTTTGATTACACTAACCCTTATAGTAAATTTAAAGTCTGGAAGTGTGATACCTCCTTGCTTTGTTTCTTTTGCTAAGGATTGTTTTGGCTATTCGTGGTCATTTATGTTTCCATATGAATTTCTGTATTGCCATTTCCAGGTCTGAGAAGAAACATGTTTGTAACTTAATAGGTATTGCATTGAATCTGTAGATTGCCTTTGGTAGGATAGACTTTTAACGATGTTGATTCTTCCTATCCATGAGCATGGAATATTTTTCCATTTGTGGGTGTCTTCTTGGATTTCTTTGAGCAATATTTTGTAGTTCTCATTGTTTATGCTTGATTGTAAAGGTCTTTCACTTATCTGGTTAGGAAGATGCCGAAGTATTTCGGTTTTTTTTGGTGGCTATTGTGAGTGGGATTGTGCTTTTAATTTGGGTCTCTGCCCTCTTGTTGTTGGTATATAGGAATGCAACTGTCTTTTGCACATTTATTTTGAACCCTGAGACTTTGCCAAAGTACAAGGAGGTTTTTGACAGATTCTCTTGTATTTTCATGGTATAGGATCATATCATCAGCAAAGAGGGATAACTTGACTTCCTCTTTTCCTATTTGGATACCCCTGATTTCCTTTTCTTGTCTAGTTACTCGATCTAGGACTTCCAACACAATGTTGAACAAGAGGGGTGAGAGTGGGCAACCTTGTCTTGTTCCAGTTTTCAGGGAAAATGTTTCCAGTTTCTGTCCATTTAGCAATATGTTAGCTATGGGTTTATTGTAGATGGCACTTACTATTTTGAGGTATATTCCTTTTATACCTAGGTGTTTGAGGGTTTTTATCAAGAAGGGATGCTGGATTTTATCAAAAGCTTTTTCTGCATCTAGTGATATAATCATGTGGTTCTTGCTTTTACATCTCTTGATGTATTTAATGACATTTATGGTCTTGCGAATGTTGAACCAGCCCTGCATCCTGGGGATAAAGCCTACTTGGTCATGGTGGATGATATTTGATATGTGTTTTTGGATCCGATTTGCTAGAATCTTGTTGAGGATTTTTTCATCTATGTTCATAAGAGATATTGGCCTGTAGTTCTCTTTTTTTGTTGGATCTTTACCTGGTTTGGGTATCAGTGTGATGTTAGCTTCGTAAAATGATTTGGGGAGAATTCCATCCTTCTCAATTGCTTGGAATACTTTCAATTGGATTGGTATCAGCTCCTCCTTGTACGTTTTGATGAATTCTGCTGGAAAGACATCCAGTCCAGGGCTTTTTTTGT